TTAATCCCAAAGTTTGAAAGTCTTCTGTGATTCATGTTATCTATAATTACCTATGCAATACATTCATAAGCTTTTATCTTAATAATTATTAATTATTTTTATTAATCGCACGTTAGTTGAATTGATCACAATTATATAAATAGATATCTGATTTTGATAAAGTGGCTATCTGTCGGCGTTCTATCACTGTCTTTATCTACTTTATATCTTATAAGATATAATCTTATATATCTTACATATATTATATAGCTCATAGAACTTTTATTCCTTAAGATTTAAGAATATAAAATTTGGATAGAATTATCATCTCTTTAATTTTTATTACATGTAAAAAAATATTTTATATATAATATTCTTGTGATACGTATTGATAAGTATTGTGCATTTGTGCATTTGTCATAATTTTACGACATTTTATTGTTTGTAATAATGTTCAAAAATCTTTAATATAACATTTAGAAATTTCCTATTTTTAGAATATCTATTTATTTTATTTGTTTACGAATCTAAACGCTGACATCCTGGCTTAGTCATGCACAAGGCAAAAAAATCGATCTGTCAAACATAAAAAATTAGATATACATTGGATTTCTGATTTCCTCCGTCAAGCGCATCGAACACCAAGATAGAAAGAGAAAGGGGGTAGAGTGGTTAACGGTAATGGTGGAAAACAAGCGTTTCCCCCGACGGACGGGGGTCGCCGAGGTCGGGTTTAAAGCCGAAAAGCCCCTAAATGGAAATCGGGGAATTCCCAGGGCGTAGGAGGACGAGAGAACGGCTGTCGGTAGTATCGACCGAGACGAAAGGGCGGGCGAGGGGAGATGCCGGCGATGGTGGGGAGATGCTGCGCGGTTTAAGGGTGGACGCTGCACGCTGCACGTTGCCTGGCAACCTTCCCGCAGCATCCCTCCTGGACCGCCGCCGCCACCGCCCCTATCCGCCGCCGCCGCCATCGACGACCTCCATGATCATTGTTGTCGTCGTTGTTGCGCGTCCGCCATTATTCAGGATCGATATCTCACCCCGAGATGTTTCATTTTCTTGATTTGTCGTGATTTCTGTGTGCACCTCTGTGCATGTGTGTTTGCCTTTTTTCAGGAGAATCCTGGAGTACGACATTTTGAATCAAAATTGAAAACTGGCATTTGCGTGATTATAAGAGATTCTAGAAATCAATATTTTAAAATTTTTAGAGAGCAAAGAAGAGGGAAAGAGAAAGTCGAGGATTCAAGGATTCTCTAGCGGAAAAGATATTCATGGTATTGTAAATATCTGATGTGGCAAAAGTTAGGGTGGCACTAAAAAGATACTTTAATCCCCTATAAATTATATTGTAAAATATTATGTAGAGGTACTGATGTGTGTGTGTGTGTGTGTGTGTGTGTGCGTGAAAAATAAAATGTGTATGCATGGAACAATCAGTTCGTTGCGTCCTTATTTCCTCATATAAATCCTGTAAATATTATTTTTACTGTTATAAATTATATCAAATTAATCCTAAAAATATATAATTGCTTTTCTTTTCGAACAAAGTTATGCAAAAATGCAATATTCAAGAAAGCATTATAAACTCTCTTAGCCACATTTCTTTAATTTGCTCTAATTTTGTTTTTATACATTAATTTATTGCAAAAATATTAACAAAATATATAACAAAAATTAAGCAATGTACAGTATCTACAGTATCAATGAATACCAAAAGTTTCAGTTTTTTGTTAATCAATTTTGCAAATAATCTGTATAATTAATTAAGTGAAATAAATTTATCATACTAACTTCCAACGTCGAAAAAAATATATTCCCAAGCATCATAATCTAATTCCTAAATGTATTGTAACTTTATTAATGCATTCATTCATCTTAATAAAAACTTTCAGCTTTGTCTATAAAATTCCCCTGCTATTTTTCTTGACAAAGACCTAAGAAGCTAAGTGACAGAGAGATTGATCGTTATATGAAAACAAATTTAGCGATCCTTTTATACTTACTTTTTTCCGTATCCGTATTATTCCTTTATGTAATATCCGAGAAAAACGATATAATCGCGCCGGAGATAAATCTCTTTCTTTCCACATCTCCCAACATAAATCGCGCGCGAGCTTTATCGCTTTCGCGGGAAGTTACGCCAATTGTTTTGGCGGTAGGGAATACCAATTAAACCGCGAACTTTCCACGCAAGAAGTTGTATGTGCGAATATCTTGCGAACTTTCGGTAATGATAATTATTTTGCCACCTGTTGCGAACCCTTATAATCCCCGGCAAACCCGAAAGTGAACTGGGTCCCCAACGATACTCGATGATAATGAGAAACAACAAGAATAGGAAATGAAGATGTCGCAGGTGGTATAAAGTGTTCCTCGAGCAAAAGAGACATTACCTAATTATTCGATTGTAACTTAATGTTATTGAATCAGCTGTTGCCGCAAGAATTGGCAACAATCCTATCCAATCCCACCGGCCGCGATTTGCTATTCCGAGATTTCTCGCGTGACGATTGTCGCAGGTAAAAATAAAAGAGACCGCCATTTCTGGCACATTTCCCTCCCGCCCGCGCGTGCCCTCCCAGTTTCCGTCGCCATATCCCGTCGTAAATTTCCTCGCCCCATCGACCCTGTGAAGCGTAGGCGCAACAAAGAAATTCAGATAAAGGTCACTTTGCCAATAGGAAGATAGCCTGACGGCGAACGGAGTTACGGAGGTAGGCGAGGGGAGGGTCCGCGAAGAGGATCCATGCACGCGAAACGGCGGGGGGAGAAGAGGCTCGCCGCGCTCGCCGTGAGTTTTCCACCCTCCGCGACCCTCTCGCGGCTTGTATTGGGAGCTTGACTTCCATTCAAGCGATGTGTTCTTAGGCGACCGCGGCCGATCCCAATCGCATTAGTCAGCTGTTAACGCAATTATTAACGCGACCGTTCCCGGCCCGTCCCAACATCGGACTAGAATTTGCAAACATTGCTTTTTAAAGTTTGCAAATATATTTTCGCTCGTTATTTATGAAAAACATTTGTTAAAATTACGTCGAGAGATTATTTAAGACTAGATTTAATCTTTGTATGTTACAAGATTAAATATTAATGTATTCGTCGTCTTTCGTTATATTCGCTAACTTTGTACTTCGTAATTTCTGCAGATTTTAATTTTAATTGTTTATAATCGTTCTCTTGGATTTTTAATAAATAGAATCAAAATTATCAATGAACATATCAAGAAGATCGACAGAAGTATCGATAAAAATAAGCATTAATTTGCACACAGAGTGCATGATCTTCGAATTATATTTGACGACTATATATATAGATCGACTAAATATAAGAATCTAAGATAATTGAAGCCGTTATTGCGTGCCTCGCAAGAAACGGCTCGTATTCGCCCCGCAGTTGACTTAATTGGACCTCGCGGATCTACGAGATATCGCGAAGCGAGAAAGAAATTCTACGACGGGATGGAGGGCGAGAGTGAGAGAGATATTGAAAGAGAGCAGAGTGCACTTTATGAAATTGCATCGAGTATAATCACATATTTTCTTCATGGCTCGCGTCGCGGGCTTAATTCGAATGATGGTACTTCGCACGAAGAACGCGAGCGAAAGGATGAGAAACTAGGGAAAGGTACTGCGAAATAGAAAATAAACAAGATGAACGGGGGAAAAAGAAAAAATAAAAAAAAACGGCTAAATAAAACAGAAATAGAACGAGATGGTCGCAGGTGGACGGAAGATAAAAGAATCCGAGTAAATTGGGAAAGGGAAATAATTGTAAAGTAAATAAACTTCTCTAGACAAATTGATGGAAATTGATCATCTAATCTCTCAGCTGTGAATGATAGACTAAATTGAATGACTGCGAATTGATAGGGTCGCTTGGTAAAAGTGGAGAACACCTGGTCAAGGAAGCTTCGCGGAAACTGACACGAAAGACGCAGAAGTTTCAGGGTGAGGAGAAGGTGGGACACGCGCGAACGCGGAGGGCGGTGGCAGAGGGGACAGCCGGAGAGAAATAATCCAGCGCTTCTTCGGGAGGGAACTTTCGGCCTGGTTCGCGCGACAGGAACATGGTGCGATTACGTCTCACATACGCGAGACGTAAAATTATACAATGAGAAATACGTTTCGCATAATAATCGCGAGAAAGAGAGAAAGGGAGAGAGAGAGAGAGAGAGGGCAGAGAAAGCAAACAAGGAAGAGAGAGAGAGAGAGCGAAGAGGAAAAGGGAGACATGCGAGGATGCTCGCTGGAACAGGGGGTAGGGACGGGAGATACGCAGGCTGAGATCAATACGGGGTCGCTAGGCAACGAGCCTCCGGCGATCTCGGTCCGGGTAGACAGGGTGCCGCCAAGCAAGCCGCTGTAGCCACCCCCCGCCACCCCCATGGCGGCTCGACCCCGCTCTCTCCCCTGATCGCCCCCACTGGTCCATCCCCAAAAGCGCCTATATTCCACATAATAAATACCGGCAATTGTGCAACACGGCGCGCGGGATAACACGAGGAGACAAGCGCTTCCCAGCGAAAATGATGCTCGTTGACGAAAGGAGATCAACGAGAATTCGACGAGAATTTCTGACGAGTTTAATTAACAGGCGGTTTCCGTACTCTTTTCAGCCCCCCCCTCTCCCCATTCGAATTTCCCACGGCACTTTCGCCGATATCTTCCTTTCGAAGTTGTTTAGTAACAGGACTGATGCTGTTCATATGTAAAAATTGTTCTTAAAATACTTGGATTTAAAAATCAATCTAAGATTTGAATTTTCATGTATTTAGAATATTTAGATATTATTCATAGGTACAAAAGACAATATTTTAAATTTTATTTCATGTCCTAGTTATTGTTTGTTACGACGCTGTTTATCACTGGCATAAAAGTTCTCGAGCAAAAGAGTTTCATAGAATTATTGTTCTATTATATAACGCGGCATTTTAAATACATAAAACGTGTTTTATGTATTTCAAATAAATATTAATGTAATTTTTATTGACTTGTAATTATTATGTATTCTATTTTCTCATGTTTACTATGTTACGTGAAAGGCAGGGCATGTGCGTATTACGAGACGGAAATTCCCGAACGCATCGCTAAGTAAGCTAAGTTTATACTTATGCATTTTCTTTTCTCAATCGCACGAACACCAAGAACTTAATAACGAGAAATTAATTATTGCGACTCAGATTTGTTGAAGTAAATCTGTTCTTTAAAGACGGATAACTGAATATTCTCCATTGAAACAGTTCGAGGAATTTAATTCGCTGAAGGAAGTCAATTACGGCGACGTATATATTTTCCAAAGCGAGAAATGTCCAGGATTTTCCCGTTATCAAGAGATCGATCCCCATGTTATTCTGACAATTGGCACAGCATGGCGGTGCCACGCAGGATCCAGTGCTCCGGCGGATGCGACGTCGGTAGCCAGATTGCGATGACAAAATTAGTTGAATGGCCGGTGGTCGACAGCACGCCTTTCCGCTCGCTGGTCTTGTACACCGGACACGTGTACGTGTCCTTGTCCTGCACCTGCTCCTTCGTCACCGGCATCAGCCAAATCTGAAAAGCATAACGCGTGGGAGTCAACGCACGTTCTAAAGCCCCTGCCTTGTCGCTCGATTCAAAAAGTTTGAACAGCCACGACGGAACATGTTGCATTTTTGGAAAAGTTCCAGAAGGTCTTTCGCAGGAAGCTCTGCGCCCTTCCACAAAGGAATTTGTGAATTATTTAAGCACCACTCGGAAAAACATCAAATTTAGTTTGAAGAGATTGAACTTCGTTTTGTGTTGACACTTACGTAAGGCACGGTATCGTAAAGGATCTTCGGGAAGGATTCGTCGAGCTTCATTGTGCTCAGGTTGAAGCGAGCTCCGTCGAGAAATAGCCCGTAAATGTATACCCCGTCGACCGGCGGCTTTTCGAAAACAGTGTCCTTCAGAGGGACGAAGTCGTAGATCAATAAATCGATGGGAATGGAATACTTTCGTGCGTAATTCTGACGGGCACCGGTGAGGAACGCTTGTGTGAAGTAGAAACCGGAAATCCAGAAAGATGTGGGAGGTCCTTCCGTATACCAAGCCTAAAAAAAACAGTTACAATCTGTTTAGATTCTATGTAATTAATTAAGATAATTTTAAAATTTTTTTATATAAATAAATCTAATTTATTATAAAATATTATAATGTCTACGGTTATATTGCATTAATAAAATAATATTAAATAAAACTATGTAGATGTCACATTGTAGATATAACAAATTGTAAGACTATTAGCGTAACTTGATCAAAAAGCGATAGTCTTAAAATTCTAAAAAACTATGGTTTACTCAATTAAAAAACTACGAAATAATTTCATTTTTACGACAAAGCAAAATAATTCAATATATAATCCGTTTTCTCTTAATTTCACCTGGAGAAAGTTCAGCCTCTTCAGAAAATCGTGTATGTAACTGCCGAGCGGCTTCAGAGAAGGGTAAGAATCCGTCATCCACATTTTGGGTATCCTGCCGATGATGATCGACGAGTAGACTTCTTCGAGGTCGGGACTCATTATCACCAGGCCTAAACGGATATAAATAGAATTCGGAAGGACCGTAAGACTAGCGAAGCGCAAGGACTTGTTTGTTCTTTACCCTTGATTGCCTTCTGGATGTTCACGAGGCTGCTACGGATGGTCTGCAGGAGTCTGTTGAATCTGCCCATCTCCTGAACCAGCACGGTATTCATGCTCTGCTCGTACAGCGTGGGATACCTGTCAAGGGCGACTGCGAGATCGTAGTCCTGCGGCAATCTCGACAGGATGTCGGACGCGACGCCGTAGACGACCTTGTCCGGCGATCTCTCGGCGTCCACTTCCGCCTGGCCGGTGTCCTGAAAAATCAGAAGATTTCCTTAACGCGGAGCTTTCGTAAACTTTTGACAAGGTGCCTGTACCGCGCTGTTTTAATTCTGTTATCTCTGACAAGTAAAAATAGATTCTGTTCAACTTAAATTGAAGAACGGAGACTTGAGTTTAATAATGCTATTGTGTAATGTTGTTAATTTTAATAGAGGTTGCGACGTCTGAGAAATCTTTCTTCGCATTATTTTCATATATCTGAAAGTCTAACTTATCATTCCTTTATTATTTCAAATAACAACGTCAGGTCTTTTCGTAAATAGTAAAAAATAACATATTATCGTATGTATGTACATATTCAGGTTTATATGTATTTGTACATCAAATTTATTTCAGTCATTATTGATGTTACAGAATGGTAGCAAATAAAATATTATTTTCTATAGTTAGATAATTCTTCTAGAATTAATTCTATATTTAATAATGCAATTTTTGGATTGCAAAAATGAATAGGAACGATATTATAGAATACCGTCTTTCTTGATTTTTTTCCTTGACACTCGTGTGAAAATTAAACGACATCATTGTTTCAGTTATTTCAATTTTTTATAAGATTTCTTTCTTTAAATAAATATTACTTAATTATTTTAAACTCCTCTACATTCTGGGCAAAGATAAAAAGACAACAAAAAATTCTCATTATTCCATTATATTGGAGGAATCGAGAAATTAAACAAAGATAAAAAAAAATCAATATATTATGCTGTGTCATCTTGTCCTCTAGATCAATAGGTAGTAACGCCAGATTTATTATATAAGAATGGATATCGTTTACCTTGTTATATTGGAAACTTTAATTCTTATGTAATACCAGTCACGGAACAATAACGAAAGTTTTATAAAAAAGATATCTCTGAAGTTGAGAGTGCAATATTAAATTTAAAAAATTGTATTAAAAACATTTTATTTAATAATATATCGTTAATGTATCATTTTTATAGAAAAATAAAACATTCTACCTTATTTAAAAGTTTTTTTATACTGTTAGCTTATCGTTATATAATTAATTAAAATAATTTTGAACAGTTAAAATTCGTGTTAGGTATATAAATAAGTCTGATTTATCATAAAATATAATATCATCATAAAATCAATCATCAAAAAAATCATCAAATCAATATAATATCATCATAATATCATAAAATATTCACGTCGCCTGAGAAAGACGTTTCAAACTATTATTAACCGGCTATTGCGATAAATATTACCACATGCCTCGGTGGTCGAATTGGTACGACGCCCTACACGGAATGAGGGAGGTTCCAGGTTCAAACCCTGGCTGAGGTAATATTTTTCGCAATAAATTTTCTTTATGGTTATTAGATAATTAAATCGAGTCAATTTAATTTCGGAGAGGGAAGGGTTTTTAATTCTAACAATTACTGTGTTTTAAGTCCGAAAGTAATCGCCGCGCAGTATGTTGGAAAAATCATATGTATATATATAGACATATATGTATACAGTAACTAATATAAGGCTGTCAAAGACCTAAGCTTGGATCGCATGGCTTTTGATTCTAATTGTTCATAAAATATAATATTGCGGTTTTGTTGAATCGATAAAATAATAAATTATAAATAAATAAATATATATATATATATAATATACATGTCACATTGTGATTGTATAAATATAGTTAAATTAATGCAACTTGATTCTAAAAAATCAAAAAGTCATAGTTTTAAAATTCTAATACTACGATTCGTTCGATTAAAAAAGCCGACAGCTAAAAAATAATTAAAAAAAAACATTCAATTTTTACAACAGGTACAATATAGCTCGACATATAATCCATTTTCTTCTAATTTCACCTAAAGAAAACACCTTTTTGGAAAATCATGTAACTACCTCCTCGTTTCACATTCCAGCGCCTTTTTATAATTTGTAATTTGTCTCGAATTGACCGGAACACGTGTATGCGTGCGATAAATCCTCTTTACCGAAAAACCACATAGAAGTGTAACAATCAATCTCGATGTTTCGGTTTAATACCTGAGTGGTCAGGATGGAGGACAGCATCAAGTAGCTCTCCTGCTGATCCTTGATGATGTCGGCGTTCTCGTGCATACCGAAGACGCTGGGCGCGGTGGTCATCGGCAATTCTCTCACGTAATCCAAGAATTGACCGTACTCGCTGACCGACGGTACGTAATAAAGGCCGCTGGGATCGAACAGATATTTCCGATCAGCCACGACCACGTCCTCGTGATAGAATCGCATCAGGATCGTGTTCAGGGTTCGTCGGTCCCACTCGTCGGTCACGCGACCGCCGTAATTGCACTCGCCTTAAAGAAAAAAGGATTAAGAAACACGCTGACGAAAACTTGTTGCTTACCATAGCTTATCGCTTCGGATATTTCTTTCCACGACATTTCATTTCTACAATTTCTTGTTTCTAACGTCAATCAAAATTTATAATCTGTAATATACGAAGACGCAAATTACATTTAATATAAATACATTTTTAGATATTTATATTAATAGATATATATATTTAACATAAATATAATTTTTATTCATTTATTAATTTTTATATTTTTATATGAAATGAGAACATTGTGAATAAAAGTGATTGCTTAATAGACTCAATTGGGAACAATTAAACAATCATTTGCCACATTTATCGACTCTTCGCAAAGAATTGATTCGATAAATGTGGTCAGTTGGGTCGAATTAAACAATCATTTTTATCAGTTATTATTGACGAAGCAAAAGATCATTTTCTATCATTTCTATATTTGTTTTTAATCAGGTTCCATTATTAACGTTAGCTAACTTTTCAACTTAATTACGAATCTAATTAAAAATACGTTAACCGTTATCTATTTTTAATATACAATATCCATTTTTATATGTATTTTTGACGTAAAAGTTTTTCATTCGCACACGCAGTTGTGTGTAAAAAAGATTTTAGACAAAGGAGGAGCAACGTGCGAGAAGTAAATTTTTCCAGAGTGACCATAAGCAATTTCATTCGAATACCGGTCAGGTATTTCAATGCGGTGAACTGAACGTCGTCGTATTGGTCGAGCAAGATCTTGAGCTGCAGCGCGCTGATACGCAAATCCGTCTCGTTGAATTCGTACTGATTGTTCCAGCCGATCGGCCCGAACTTCCGTCGCTCCTGCACGATGCCGTGGAAGAAGCAAAGCGAGAAGAGCAGCCGTTTGAAGGTCACCCGCTGCTTCGACTTGTCGAAGAAGTCGGGATCGCAGATCGGGTCCTGCCACGAGATTTAATCGAATCTTTTAGAGCAACTTGTCTCTTTGGTGAACGAAACGGGAAGTTGCATCTACCTGGTGAAAAGATCGCAAAATATTCGCGCGCAGTCCTTTGGGAGGCTCGTTCGTCATTTTCACGCCGTTCTGCAGAACGCTGACCGGAAAGTGCTCGACCGGATAACTCGTCAGCCACAGCCGGAAGTCCGGGTGCACCGTTTCCTTCGTGAAGCTCTCGCATATCTAAATATGACGAAATAAAAATATTAAGACAGCAAATAATGGAACAAAAAGATCCTCGTTAAACATTTTTTTAAGCTGCTCAAAATTCAAGTTAGAAGTAACAAAAAGTTTGTAATAATCTTACATTTAGATTCAAGCGACATATTTTAAACTAAATAATTCTGCACTTAAAGGTTTTATGTACATTTATAAATTAAATTATTAAATTTAATGAATTTTTATGCTTCCCGAATTTAAAATTGACTTTCAAATTTAGAAATATTTAATAAATGTTTAAAAGTATAATCTTAATTAAAATTATATGTAAAAATTAATGTTTTTTTTCTTTTATCCTAGAACTAACGTATACCTATTTTTACTATTTAAATGTAATATATAATGTATTTTTAAAAATAATAATTTAATATATATAAATTGCTTTAAAAAAAGGGATAAAGGAAGGAAGTAAATTAATCAAATTAATTATTTACATATGCAACAAAAGTCAGAAAATTTTACAAAATATACCATCATAAATTTGATAAGAAATTACAAATCAGTCATTTTAATTGCTTTGGAAGTTCTAGCGTTAATCTTAGTCGTGTAATAAATTTGAATTTATGCGAGAAGTTACTTTTTCCAGAGTGACCATAAAAGTTTTGGCGACGTGACAATTTTGCAACACCACCCAGGTGCCGTTCTTCACGCCTTCGTCAATGAGACCCTCGGCGATAATCCCTTGACCTTGGCCCAAGGACAAGGAGAACAGCCTGCTGGCACCGAAACCCTGATCGTCGGCGAATTTCAATAAGATCGCCATGGGATCCGCACCGGGTGTCAGGACGAATATCAGCGGGATGCAGGAGTGCGAGTCCGCGAAGGAGGCCGCCAGATCGAAGGGCGGTGGCACGATGTACTGATGCCCTAATTGTTCTATCGGATGATTGGAAAATTTAGGCGAGCAAAGTAGCAACACTAATGTTTTCGGTCCAACGAATTTCTGGCTACATTATATATGTCGAGTTTCTTTCGTATTTTATAAGAAAAGATACAAAGGGATAATATTACACGAAGAAGGATCTACTTCCCATTGTCGTAAAGAATTTAATTTCGCCCTTTTGCTCCGAAATGTATGGCCTGTTCTAGATTCTTCCCCCGCGCCGTACCCTTCAGCTGGGTCGGTCTATTTTTAGATTTTGGTGGCCTCTTTTCTTTTTTAACAACTTTACCTTCGACAAACAATTGTGCCGCCGGCACTATCTTGTCAGGACGAATGCAACGAAGCACCAGCATCTTTTCGAAGCTGCTCAGTTTATTCCAAGGAGCGGGAAAAAACGAAGTATGAGGCTCTTTGTGATCGAATATCTTCTTCCATTCATTGATATTTTTCATAAAGGAGTCTCTTATTTCCTGAATGACAAAATACAAAAAACAACTTTGTTGCAATAAGTAAAACTTTACGTTCTAATAAATTTCCGTAATAAATTTCTCAATAAACCAATAATAGATTAAAGAAATTCCGTTAAATTTCATGGAAATATTCGATCGATTTTTACGAAGAACTTTTATTGGCTCTTATAAAAAAACTAACAATTTTTTTATAGAAAACGTTTGTATTAACTTTGATGTTAATTTGCACCATTCCGAAAAATTTACCGAGAATCCTGTAACGCTGTCCAATCGGCAAAGCTCGTCCCAGGACCTCGCCGGCAGCCATTCGGTGGGATTGGCGAAGGGATTCTCGAGGCCGACGCCGCCGGTCAGCAGGAACATCCACTGGGCCATGGAGAGCTGGCCCTGCTTGTTCAGCAGGTTCACGGACAGCAAGAGCGAAAAGAGCAGCTTGTCCTTCTCAAAGAGCGAGCGGCATATGTTGACGTATAGGGAATAGGTGAAGCACTTGGTGAGGTCCTTCAGACGCTGCTTTATGTCTTCCACTGGTGGCGTGTTGTCGATAGTATTTTTAAAGAGATTGACGAACCAAGCGAGGGAGTACTGATACATCGGATCGATATTTGCCAGCATGGCTGCGAGAAAGATTAACGAACGATAAATACTGTCTCCCCCCCAAAAAATATATTATAAATTATTATCATACGATTTTTTATATGACTTTAAATATATTTTAATTATATATTGCTTTCAAAAATTATTGCTTTTTATTTATCCTTAGATATATATCTATATTATTTTTAAAGATTTTAAATATGTACTATGATAGTTTAGGAAAACTAAGATTCCTGTAAATTAATAGAATTTTAGACGCTGTTTTTATGTTACACTTAGATTGTATATTTCGTTTTTGTATATTTTAACAGAACTAGACGATTGGTTTAAATCAAGCGATTTCTGTACAGACTAAACGCTAGTTTGGGTTGCATTTTTTACTCGCCTATTGTGAAGAAGAGAATAGTGCTATAGACCGCAATTGGCGTGTACTGCAATCTCGCCGCGTCGATCGACTTCTCGGTAATTTCAGCAGCAGTCTGTTTAGTTTGAATCTCATTGGCCAGACTTTTCGATGAGCTCAGCACACCGATAGCAGTTTCGTCCTCGAGAATATTCTCCTTGGACGCGGACAGCACCTCCAAGATCTTATTCTCTATCTCCTTTAACATCCTGCGGAAAAACGTTGTGAAATATCGCCCCCGACGCGACGGAGCAACGATAATCCCGAATTGCAAACTAACAAAGCTTTACAGAATTAATATTTATTTACATACAAAATCTCTATTTTATTAATACATATTAATATATATATTTATTTGTCATTTTCGGGAATTTTCGGGAATTTTCGGTACTTAATTTTATCAATTAAGAATGAAATTAAACGATAATTATTTATGATCAATTTTATTCGTCTCAGCGATATAAATATATTTTTTAAATAAATAATTTTATAAATGCAGAATAATTGTTCAATCAAATGATCTTACGATAATTTCATATTAAAATAAGAATAGAAAAGATAAGAAATAAAAATTAAGAGATAGAATAGAAAGATGTTTTTATTATACTTTTTATTAGCCGCTCCTTGAACTATCAGCTGATTTTTCTCGGACTCGAGTTCGGGTTTCTCCTTCGCAACGACTATTCCCAGAAGCTGATCGTCCAGACCGACCGGAGTAATCATAAAGTTCAACAGAGTGACTTTTACCACTACTTCCGGCAAATAATGTGGATTCCGCAATTTCGTAGTGATATAAAATCTATGGATATTACAGACAAAAATTTCCACCGTCAAAGTATATAAATAAATCTCACGTACATTTTATGACAAATTAATAAGAATTTTTTATATCAAATCCATTCTTGTTTGTCAAATTTCTCATAATTTTAAATTCATTATCAGACATCATTAACACCAAATAATAAAAATGACATAATTTATAAATTACTCTTATTTCCAGTGTATTTGGAATGGAATAAGAAATTCGAGCAGGTCGACTTACCGAAATTTATCGGAATACTCGATAATGCTGTCGCCGATCTTGATGCACAACGCGCCGCCGGATCTGAAAGTCTGTTTCATCAGCAGCGGTTCCAGGGCCGCGTCCAGCTCCTCGCCGATGTTCTCCAGCAACACCGGCTGTCCGAACTGCACGGCGTTCTCCAGGATCCTCATGTAATCCGGTTGCGTCAGTCTGACGACGTGCAGATTCGATGCCTTTTCCATATTCTTCACCCACTTATTTGCCTGACCCTGCGGATCGATCATCAACGGCCAGCGACGCGAGTTCGAGATGATTATGGCATTGTCGATAGAAAACAGATCGCTCGGCAGGCCGAATATGTTCCAGCCGCGGATGAGCACCGGATCGCCCAGCACCTGCGTGAGCTGGAAGTCCTGAGTGCAGACAACATTCAGTCTGGTACAGAACTCCACCCAGTTCTCCACTTGCCGTTGCCGATACTGCGTCGTGAAGACGCCGAGGTAGGCCACCACGCCGGAACCGATTAAAATGTCGCCCGTTAATTTGTGGTAGCTTTCTCCGAGCGATCTGTCAATAACCATGAGATTTCAAGTCATGATAATATTTCAGATTGCAATCCATTAATAAATAAACAATAAAAATTAAAATTAAGAAACAAAATAATAAAAGATTAAAATTAAAAATTAAAAGCATGATAATATTATAGTCTTATAGACCTGCCAGATGCTAATTATAGCTATTCAAAGTTCAAAATCTTCAAGAAATAAATTTTGAGCTAATAATCACTAATCCTTGAAATTGAAGAAAAGAAAAAGATACAAAATTAAAATATTAAAGAAGCTATATGTATTAAATTTTGGTTTTTGATTATTCGAAGAAAATAGGAAGAGATCAAATAACAAAGCGACAAGTGATCATAAAATGTCGTTACTTGGCGGTCTCGGACCATCTGGTGTACTCGCCACCGAGACCTCCGATCAGCTCCTCGGCCCTCCTCAACTTCTCCTCGCATTCCTTCACCTCGTCGGTCATCGCTTGGTACTCGGCCCGTCGTTGCGCCAACAGGGTTTCCAGTCGGGCCAGTCTCTCCCGCACCTCCTGCAGCTGGTTCCTCTTCAGCGTCAACTGCTCCATCGCTGCGGAGTAGTCGGCCTCGGCCTTCGCTAGGGCCTGCCTCTTCGGCGCCACTACCTTAGCGACCTTATCGTACTCCGACAGGGCAAACACCCAACGGCAAAGACCCTCGCAGGCAGTCGACACCTGCCTGATTCGTTCCGGATCGAAGTTCGGATTCGTCAAGATCGTTGTGCGGATCTTGGTCATGATACGTTCGGGGATGTTGTCCTTGTCGTAGTTCAGCAACGATTCCAGGAAATGTATGTCGCCCAGAATGCGAAGCGACGGCTTCCAATAGTCGTCCATCGGACCCTCCGGACCTTGCACCCTCTCCGGCTTCACGTCCTGCACGATTTTCAAAGAGATTCTTAAGCGAACGGAAATCAGAGCAAACTTGGACGCATAAATTTATATTATTATATATTTACGTTACATATTATAATTTATATTTGTATTATAAATTTACATATATAGCCGGTTCGGGTATTTTATTATACATTAATGTTACATGCAATTAGGTGCTACATAAATATGTATTTCATACATATATTAATATTAACGTGTTATTACTCATGCAGGCTGGAAACTAAATATCATTTGACATCGATTAATTTTCTATTTCCACCAACGAGCAAGATACACTTATTTACATATCGTTTATTCCTGCATAATTATTTAATATACCTTCAGTATGCAAATCGCTTCCATGACCAATCGCACGCCAGCCGGCGGGCGTTTCATGGATTTGACGATCTGGATGTCCTGTGGTGTCAGAGTGTTCAGTGCAGCATTCGCCGCGTCCAGTATCGGCATTACTTCCTGAAGGTCCGCGTCGCATTCAACGCGGATCTCTTTGGCTTCCGCGGCGACGATCTGACGGCATAATGCAAATTATATAATTGGTCATTGAATCCCTCAAATTTATTTAAAATTATTTAACACGAAATAAATTAATTACCAAAATATTTTAATATATTAAAAGTGAAATCAAACTCGGAAGATTAAAACTAAAATAAACACGGAAACTGATCAATTTCTAACAAACATCAAATCCGTGTGCAATATTAAAAATTAAATTACTTAGGTAATAATGGATTAATTTACTCGAAAAATTAAAACTGAAATTTAAAATATGGAGATTGATCAATGTTTTACATACTAAAGTATCAAAAACTCGAATTTATCTTATTTATAATAAGATAAAATAAAATAAATAAAAATATAATAATTAGGATATCGATAATGAAGACAATCCAAATGATAAATATAATTCAATTGTAAAATTTCTTTTCACCATAGCGGCCTCCTCGTCCTTCTTAACAACTTGCTCGATCTCGCTGGCTTCCTCGCTCTGCCGCTGCACATCTAGAAACATGCCCTCCACGTCCTTCGCAGCCACCAGCAGCTTCGGCTGAAGAGCTACCAAGATTTGCTGCATCCTGGTGACCTCCTTGCGCGTGTTGTCCAGCCTGCCGAGACCAGCCTCATATCTCTTCTTGCCCCGCAGTACTTCCTTTCGTTTCCGGTCTAGTAGATCCTTGAACGTGTTGATGAGCTCTAGGTAGGACGTAGGCGTGACGTAATTGTGACGATTCAGCCGTCTCAGGAAGTCTCTTGTCAGTTCCTGCGTGGACGTGTGGAAATACTGACACATCGTAATGCAGGCGTGACGTTCGTCGCCCGGCATGTCGATATCGCCCAGGAACTGCGTGGCAACCGCGAGCAGGGCGTCCTCGGGCCAGGGTTGCAGCCAGTCGATGGTGCAACAGTTCACCAGCGCGGGGAACTTGCGGATCCGGGTGCGAAAGCTATCGCCAATCGGCGACATCGTCACCACCACGTGGAGGTGCTCGCGCACCGTCTGCACGAAGAAGTTGAAGAGCGCTACCGGGCTGCCGTCCGTCTGTACAGACCTAAACAATTAAAAAAAATTAATATCAATTATTTTGTATTAATTATTATTTTAACTATTTAATTAAAACTGAAAGATATAACTTCAACCGAATATTTGTCATGTACCTGGAGTATTTTTTAAATTTTTTATCATCTTATAATGGTTTGATTTTTAATCTTACCAAACTCATGAAATATTAATTAATTTCTGTTTTGAACTTTAATCTTGATCTTCCGAGTTCATTAGTCAGTTTTATCAAATACGTTAATTAATGGAAAAATTCTAAAACATAAAAAAATGTATTTATGCACGGTGTGGAAATCTCTCTCGGTGTAACTTTAATCTTTCAGTCAATGCTAATATTTATTAATAAGTTAAATTCAATTTAAATAAATATCATTTTACACGAAGCAAGTATTTGAGAAATTGACCTGAAAAATAATTACAAAATCATAATTAAAAGATTATATACGTTCGCTCTATATTTTATATTATTCAAAAGCATTTTCCATATTTTATTACGCAAAGAGCGACAGCGTAATTATTAATATTACTCAAACAATTTCATTCTTATTATACAGATTTAAATATACGGGCCGCGTCACGAAAGACATATTAATATTATCGCTGATTAATCAAACAATTTAATTATCCGATTTCAATGGATTTCAATATTATTCTATATTCATGAATGAGATAAACCTGTCTCTCTGCCGATCGATAATTCGCATTTTCTCGCAGATCTCAGACTTCTCTTCCGCCGCGAAGAGATTAGGCACTTCGCCAGAGTTCAGGAGGTTGCTGATATCTTCCAGGAAGGCCTCCTCCTTAATCTGCGTGTCCATGAAGAGGAAGACCGTGTGAAGATCACTCGCGGCGCTCTTCCGCAGGATGTTCTTCAGGTCCTCGTGCCACTCGAACATGCCGTACTGCTGCGATATCTGCACCTGGAAGAGCTCGTAATCGGATATGTGAGCCGCCAACTTCGTCAGGGATTGCCGACCGGAACCGCCCATACCAACTAGAAGAGCATGGCTGCGCGGTTGCATCATCACCCGACAGATCTTCGAGAGATGTTCTATCGCAAATCTGAAGGGATTTATTTGTTAAATTAATTGTCCAACTGCTCGATCTAATGAAATTCATCTCGAGATCTCTAGCAATCAAAACCGTAACATGAAAAAACAAAACAGATTTTAAATTGATATCAATTGTCGACAGCATGGTTAAAAAAATTATATGTACATTGATTCGTGATCTTAGAAAATACTTGGGAATTAATATTAATTGTTATTTTATTTCTTAAATTTTCTTGACAGTGATTGATGTAATTTTTAAGTATATATTATATTTTGATAATTTTTTTAAATTAGGAGAAGAATAGATTTCTCTTTGCTTTGTAGTTTTAATATTTTTATAGTTTTAATTCAACGAGTTTAATATTTCCTTCGAGATCGATTAAAAACATACCTGAAGAGCACCAGATCCATCGGCGTCTTCGAGATATCGTTGTACTCTGTGAGATACTCCTCCACCGCTTCGGCGAGCGCGTCCCAATCTTGGATCTCTATATACAACTTCTGCTCGGCGATCGGATCGTGGAAGTCGCAATAGATGAGGTTTCGCAGATTCACCTCTGTTATTTCTGCGCCGGGCTTATCCTGCAGATCCTGGAAAAGGCGTTCCATATCGTCGTTCATACGTTCTTTTATCGTCTTCCGGATCTGCTCCACCAGCCACCTGCTGTCGGCCTCGTCCACCAACCGGTCCCCATAAACTCGAAGCACTTCATGGACCCACAAACGTTTCATGCTTATCTGAAAAATTCGTGAGATACAAAGTGTATTAATTTTTTGTAAAATCAGGGTAATGTAAAGACTAATATATATATTTTTAAAGAACAATCGGAATTCTCTTTCAAGAAGAATTAAGATATCAATAATCTTACAATCATTTCCTTTTTGAAATTAGAAACAAATTAAGAAGATGACTTCACTTTGCATTATTTCCATTCTAATAATTAACTCTGCCCCGTACCAGATCGCTAATGGCTTCGGGAGTGGAGAGTAGCACCCCCTGAATGACCCGCGAGAAATCTCGCAGATTGAACAGATAATGCGATTTCGCGGGGGTCGGTAGCAGGTTTTTCCTGCTCTCTTTGTACACGTCCAGAGTGGCGTGGACCACTTGATCGATACACGGCTCGAAGAACTCCGGGAAGCCGCGGGTGGCAAAGTGCCAGGCGGTGATCCTGCTGAATATGGTAACCAGGACGTCGTCGTCGAACTCGGAGATCGCCAGGGTGACGAAGTGCCGTTTGAACCTCGGCGTGACGTCACGTCCGCCCGCGGGCGGACCCATCGCGCACATCAGCTGGACGTCCACGAGCCTGATCGGTACCACCTCCTTCCGGTCGTACCAGGTCCAGTGGTCGAGCCATTGGCGCAGAAGCTCGATGGGGGGCTGCGCCCCGTATTCCTCCTTCTGCGGCATCGACACGTCGTCCACAAAAATCACCCAGTGTTGGCCAGGCGGCGCACCATATAGACCTTATCAGAAATAAAAAAATAAATAAATACTGAATAATAATAATAGTAATAGTAATAGTAATAATAGTAAAGACAAATATACACTTCTCAACAAAACTGGAAACGTTTCAAATTGTTGACAAAAGTGACAAAATTACAAATGTAACTTAACGATAATTATGGATCGAGCTATGTTTTAAAATTTTGCCTTAAAGCTTTCTGCTTTTGCAACCTGTCGGGTTTCTTTTGGCGATACTTCAAACGGCCGCATTTCTAAGTCAGTCGTGCAAACTCGACGAAAAAACTTCAGCTTCGAGATCACGCACAAAGCTAAAAAAATTTGTTTTCAACTTTGTCCAAGATCTCTTGAAAGCTTAAAGTCTCTTCTTTAAAGTACTCCTGTGAGCAAAGTTGAAAACAACTTTCTTTTTTTGCGAAGAGAAAATTTAACGAGATTTTAATCTCATATTTCAAAGTGCTTTTTAGAAAATGACTCTATGGCTGCGGTCCACTTGACGATACAAATTCTTTGGAGCGTCCTTCTTCTCCTTCTCTCTTCATTGAAAGAAAAAAGAAGAGGAATGCTTCGAAGCATTTGTAGCGTCAAGTGGACCGCAGCCTATGACTATCTATCGCAACGTTATTGAAACCTTTTTCAAAAAGATAAAAAAAACGCCAAGTACACGCGTCGTTGTTACCTCGAAAAAAATCAATAGTATCATTAATTTTAAATTCAAAAATATTAATAAAACCCAAAAATATTGAGAGTCTCAACATCTCGAGTACTCGCAACTCGTGCGTTCGCGTATAAATGAGTCACGGTGCATCTCGCTCTGCGCGTACTTGGCGCGAGACATTACCGTATCTCTTGACTTATGGCTCGAAATGATTTTTCGTTGCAATAATAATTTCTGGCGTTAATAATTTTTATCTTATTTCTAAATATTTGAATAAAATATTAAAATATTTAAACAGAATAAAATAATAGATATTATTATCTGCCAATACAATTTTAAGGGCCACTTTCACAAGTGTCGGTTAACTTTTAACCTTAGATTATAACTCACTCTCCGTCTCTTTCTAAGGGGGACGTTAGAAGGAGACGAAGAGTGAGTTAGTTAATCTAATTAAGATTCAAAGGTAACCGACACTTGTGAAACTAGGCCTAAAAGTGTCAAAATCGACAATTGCAAATTGATAATCTTTAATAACAAATTTTCTTCTGCTTCACGCATACTTTTTACCCAACTAGTAATTCCAATAAAATTAAAACAGAATAAATCGACGAACCTTTCTTTCTTCGGTCCAGCTTGCTCATGATGATATCTTGCGTCTGATTGGCAGTAGTCTGCGCCGAAAATATCACGAAGAGCGGTTTGAAGATCTCAGGATTGTTCCTCTTCAGCAGGAACTCCATGATGTAGACGGACTTTCCGGTGCCCGTCGGCCCGACCAGAAGGACCGGTTTATGATGGCGGACGAGGTACGAGAAGAGATGAAAGTATCGAACGGTCTCCACCGTGGAGATGATAATCTGATTCACCGGCATATCCCTGGGGATCGGCGGAACGTCCTTCAAATCCTCCAGCCAGAGTTTCCACCTGCCTTTACCCTCCTTGATGTACTTATAGTCGAAGACCGAACCAGTGGTCGGTAGTGGGACTATGTAGGGTTTCTTCAGATCGTCAATTTCCGGCGAGATGCCGAAGCGTTGACGCACTTCCCGCGGAAATTCGCGTTCCGCCAACGCCCTGAAGAGCATACTAAACCACTCGCGGTAGTTGACCATCAATGTGACACCCATCGTCCAGATGCATGAGAAAAAGAAGCAGCCCTATACATCGAAGAATATCTCTTCCTAAGTGATCTTTCACTAAAATTAAACTTAGTGCTTTATGAAATTGATCAAAATGTCGGTGAGTTTAGTATATAATTTACAAACATAAAATCTGTAAATGCTGGTTATTAATTTAACATAACTAATTATAATGTGTTCAAATGTTTTATTATTGATAAAATAAATAAAAAGTAAAATGTATTTTTTGCAGTTGTAGAAAAAATAAATTTTTAATTATAAACTTTAATTAAAAATTGAACAGAATTAAAGTAACTGTATAAATTAAGATTAATTATTCGTTATTCTTTTTTTGTTTAACTTATTGACATTATTGTTATTAATGAGATCAATAAAAAGAAACAAACTGCTTTTTTTTTTTTTTAGAATATATATTTTTAATAAGAATTTTTTGTTAATTTAAAATTGAACAGAATTAAAGTAATTATAAAAGTGAAAAAATGCCCAGTGGTTTCACAATTTATGTAAATATAATTTAAACTCACTTCCACTTGCGCTCTCATGTCCAAGTCGGAGAGCGCGCTCACGTACTTCTCGTCGCGAAAATCGTCCAGGAAGCAGTCGTACAAGTACATAACCGAGCGCGTTAGATTAGCATCCGGCATCGTTATCATTTCCTGCGGGCGGACAGACCGTGAGAACACGTAATTTCCGACGGAAACGAGAAAAGTTTCTCCGAGGTGCGCAATACGCGAAGTTCATTTGTTTATTCTTTTCCTAACAACAAGATATTCTCCAGTGTTATGCATAAATCTAGAAAGGCGGATCAGGGTGCAAATTGGGAAAAATTTGAATGCTTCGAATTTCGAAGGAAAGAGTCAGCTTTAATGACGCCGCGCTCTCACCTTTGCGCCGCAACGGCGAATCAGATGCAACAGAGGCGGACAAAAGCGCAAGTACATGCCCTTCAAATGGCTTCTAATTTCCTCGGTGAAACTGGGAGGTAATGTATTCAGCCACGACGTCAAAAGTGGCGTCCAGCCCAGACTCACCGGTTCCATGTAGATCATACCACACCGTGACACCGTGGCAGGCGACGCAACCTGATAAGAAGGATATTCTAATAAAGTGTTTGAACACCCATTTACTCCAGATTTTTATCTTGTTACTAATAAATGTCACACTTTCGCAATTAGAAAAATTAAACGAGATACAATACCATAAAATTTCAAAAAGAGATAATCAAGAAGAGATAAGTTTTTATATTATATTTAAATTTGTTAATTTTTTGGATATACAATTTTAGTAGTAAGTATTAGGAGTGCTGCAAATTCCAAATCCTGTTATTTTGTGAGTTGCGATTATTAAATTCTAATTCCTAAGTTTCAGCTAAATTTTAAAGCTTAAATATAAATTGATTTAAACCTTGAATATCTATTCTTTTCAATAAAGTTAATTTAAAGTTTTTTCTAGACATAAATATTTTACACTTATGTGAATTCATAAAAAAATACTTTCCCATAAATTTCATAAGTAATAAAATTCAGCTCTTTATCTTATAAACTACCTTTCTACATAAACCAAATTCAACAATGATAAGATGGCTATTGTTTACGAACGGATTTTGATAAAATGTAAAATGTCTCGAGAAATACCTCACGCGGTTTACCTCTAAATCCATGGGCTCGAAAATCAAGTTCGTCGTAGGCGCGAGCTGGATGATCTCTCCAGATGTGAGGCAAAGCTTCTTGTTGTCGTCCAATACCGTGTTCATGTTCTCGATCCAAAGTGCATCCACCGGGCCGTCGAAGACCAGCCACTTCCTGTTCGGATTAACGGAAGTGGCGAAGGCTCGGTAGGACACCGCCAGAACACCGTCGCTCCACTCGTGCGACGCAGGATCGAATTGGCCATACAATTGGCCCATCGTGATGGCCTTGGGATTAATGACGGTGATCTCGACGCGATGCTCGTCCATCAATCCCCTGTCCTCCAAAAGGCCGAGGCAGTCCGCTAACATCCTGTAGGCCGAGGTCTTGCCACCGAACGGCAGCCCGACGATCATGAAGCCGTGGCGCACGATCATCATCTCGTAGATCTGCTGGATCTTCTCTAAAAAGTGGTCCGTGCATTGCAGATTCGCCGCGGCGCACGCATCCCGCGTGCACGCGTTGATGTGCGTGTAATCCGGCGTCGGCAGCACGACGCCGGGAAACAAATCCGAAGCTATCCCTGGCATTAAAAAAGATCCATTGGATATTGATGTTTGATTACCAAAGCTTGTAATTCTTTATCAAATTTATAACAGGATATTTTCTGAGTTTCTCCATGATTTTTATTACAATACGAAATTAATCAATTTATTTTCTTCCTTTATCCTTTTCTTTAAAAAATGTAGTAAACTCTAAAATAGCAAAGTTAGAAACAATATTTAAATTAGAAAAAAAATTATATAATTTACTTTTGATAATATAGATTTTAAAATTGTACGATACACATGTTTCAGCAAAAATTTTGCGCAAAACGAGTCAAATAATCGGAGAAATAATTTCACCTCCAAATGAAAAAAATTAAAGAAAAATCTACCCTCGAAGAGCGGCAGATCGTGAACCAGAAACTTCGGCAGATTAACGTCCAGAATACTCCTCAGCATCAAGATATCCTCGGACTCGTCGGGATAACGAAGCTTCAGATTGCCGGCAGCGATCAGCACGGATTTAACCGCCCTCATGCCGTAATCATAATGATGCTGACTGCTGAGCTGCTCCGAGCACAACTTGTAAGCGGTGACAATTTTTACGGCTAACGGTCTGCCGTTGTAGAAGCCATAAGAGTACAGAGTATTCTCCGCGATGAGAGCATAATCGGGCACCATCATCGCCACCGGGCGGAAGAGGGCCTTGAGATTGTCCGGCAGCTCGGTTCTGCCAGCGTAGCCCGGATTCATGGTGATGAATATGGCGCAGGTGGGGTCGAGGTAGATCTCCGTGCCCTCGAAAATCATCTTCTCGGTGCCGGCGTTGATCGCGCACTGAATCGTCAGGATCTGCTGAGCCACGACCGACAGGACCTCCAGGTCGATTCGATTGAACTCGTCGAAGCAGGACCAGGCGCCGCACGAGGCGAGGCCCTTGAAGAACTTGCCCAGCGCGATGTAGTCGAGGCCCTCGGAGCAGTTGAAGACCACGCACTGTTTGGCGACCGCCTTCGCCAGGTCCTTCGTGGTCTCCGTTTTGCCGGTACCGGCCGGTCCTTCGGGCGCGCCGCCCAGGTGAAGGCTCAGAGCGCCGAAGAGGGTGCGGTAGCATCGATCCGTCAGAGGTGTGATCACCAGACGAGACGTATTGCCGAGGTACTCGCAACCGTAACGTATGTACGAGTTGATCATGTACGCCCACATGTTGTCTTCCTGCTCGAGCAGAAGAATCAAAAGTAAAACATAAAGTTGAAGATAAAATAAATGTAACAGATTAATTTGGCACGTTACTGATGTGAATTGTATTTCAATTGTAATCATAAGCGCTAATGTAATTATAAAGATTTAATAAAACCAATTAATTTAATTAAGTAAATTAATTTAGTAAAATTAAATATGTAGTTTAGTAGATTATATATTACAATATTTTTTTCAAATTTGTAAAAAACTAAAACTCTTTGTATTACAAAAAATAGTAGAAGATACATTGTAAGATTTTGCAACGCACTTTGACTGTTATTAAATATAATTTTAATATTAACTAGATAGTCATACCAGCCAATAGTATCTAAGTTGGCACAGCCATCTGAAGTCGGTATTTTTTACCACTTGCTCTTTGTACAGTTCCGCGAGGACGTCCTTGCTGTGAACATCCAAAGTAACTAGCGCCTCTGAAAAAGACAAACATCAAGAGGAATTTTCAATTAATATAAAAAAAAATTGTCAAAAATGCACCCAAAAGTTTTAAAAGTTACACGACCATCGTCGTTTAATTACGTACCCAAGGTGATGCGATTCTGCTTCGAGAGAGTTCCCCTGATCAGTAGAATGATATCGTTTAGCTCCTCTTGGCACTGGTCCAAGTATCTTTTCAGCCCGGCCACACCCTTCAACATGGCCTCCTCGACTTGTTGCGTCCAATACGTCTGATCCACGCAGAGAACGGTCTGGCCGGGCCACTCGAGGACCCAGGCCGTCCTCGCCTTGATGTGGTACGCCACGATCGCTTGGTGCACCATGTGGCGCACGCTCTTCCGCATCTCGGTCTCGAGCTCGATCAGCCATTTCTCGACTTGACCCCTAGCGATGGAAGTGGATATGATTTCTAGGATATCAACCTCCTCGCCTTCTGTGGATCGCATCGCCAGCACCTCGAGGTCTTCGTTGAACTTCAGTCGAGCTATACCCTCGAAGCATTTCTTCAAGTGCGGCTGCACACTGCAGAACACAGTTTCATTCAATAAAAAATAGTAATAATTCTTGAAATAAAATATCACAAATAAATAATAATTTTATTTTTTTTTAAATTAATTAAATGAAAAATAGTCTACTTTATCCCTTTCAGTAAAATTAAAATTAATATATATGCATATAAGATCAAACTGTATAAAATTACAATTATTATAAATTTTATATACGTATAAAATTAGAAACTATATAAAATTACTTGCTGATTATTATTATCATTATACACTTGAAAGTTTTTAACTTGATATATTATAAATGACTTACCGCGTGGGATCCTTCGTCTCGGAAAGGATCTCCAGCAGCTCGTCGTTGGAAAGGAAGAAAAACCTGGGGAAGAAGAGTCTCTTCTTCTCCAAGTAATCGTTCAGACCTTTTTGAATCAGTTCTAATAGCCCGAAACTCTTCTTCAGCCGTTCCAGCATCTTTTCGATCTCGACGATAGCGAGAACATGCGGCTCGCCGTGAACATTCTTCATGATGTCCCGCCATATTTTATCGACCTGTGCAAACTTCCTTCCTTCTTCTGGCATCTGCTGTTGAATATCCGGCGAGGTGAAGATTGGCTCCAAGTACATCCACGTGCCCTGTACCTTCAGCCACTGATCCAGAATATCCTCCAGCAAGTGCAACGTCTTCTCCCATTTACTGCAATTGAAAAGTATTACGTAACAATATTAAATAATTTTTATAAATGTACAGTTAATAAAATTCCAACTCATAATAATCAAAACAAGAAACAGGTAACAATTATACAAATAACATTACAAATAAATTATAATGCAATAATAAAAATATAAAATCACATAATATTTTTTAGAAATAAAACATGAAACAGATAATATACACGATATAAAGAAAATATATTAAAATAAAATAAAATTTAAGATTCTTGGAAACGTTAATTCATTATTTTCAGCGTCAAAATCTTGCAATTAAGCTCACATTATTCGGGCCTCGAAAGGCTTAATGTAAGGCGAGTTCTTGATGGTCACCGCCTTCGTAATGTGATCATCCAGCAAAAGCTGTATCTCGTCGACGCCGGCGATGACATAAGTGCCGGTGTCCTTGTAAGGATTCACCGTAAAGGTCAGATCGGTCCAGTCCCGCTGCATCTTGTCCATGCCCTTCTCCAAAGTGTCTTCCTTCGTGGCGGCTTCAGAAACACCCTCAAACTGCGCGATATAAGCGTCCAGACCCATAGCCAGGACCTTGCCCAGCGTCAGATCGGCGTCGAACTTAATGGGAACGCCCGCGATCGCCGAAACTTGATCCCAATGTCGCGCTTTCATCCCGGGATTGCCCAGAGTCATTACTGCTGGCACCCGATCCTTAAACTCCTCGATTCTCTCTCGAACCGAGGCTGCCAGCTCACGCACGTCCGGTTCTTGAAACGCTTTCTCCAGCTTGTAGATCGTCCTGAATCCGATTTCATCGTCAAAAAACCAAAGCGATATGTGCGGCGTAATAATAATATCCGAACTACGTTAAATAACTACTAAAATTATATTAATTTTAACATTATAGCCGAGTAATTGTAGAAAAAGATAGATATACAGTAGTTTTAAATATTCTCATTCATATATTTTCTATTTTTATCAAGACTTCTTATTTTTATTGCAATATCTAATCTCATAATTTTATTATAACTTTTTAGATGCGTATCGACCTGTAATACGTTCCTACGTCGTTGTCGATGTCTTCGGGATTATAAGTGCCGATTGTACTGTTAATCCATTTGTCGTATTTGGTCAAATACTCGCAGATGCAGTCGAAGAGCTTCTTGAAGGGTTGCAGACGATCGGCGATCCGTTTCCGCAGAGGATACTGTGTGATCTCCCAGCCAAAAGCGACCTCCTCCTCGTTGAACTTGTCGATCTTGTCCATCGCCGTGATCAGCCGGTTTTCCAAATTCTGCGCCCTACGCTGATACCGATACACCTCATCGATGTCGCCCCAGTATTGCATCTCCTCCACTTGTTTCACATACGAGTCCAATTCCTCCTCGAACTTCTGATATCTGACTGTAAAAATAAAAAAACGAACTCTGCCTTTCGAAATATTTATCATAGTGCGTAATGTTAACGTTAAAAATTGATTTGGAAAAATGCGGATGCAAACCACGCATAAATATAAAAGATTTTCAACGAGTTCGCGATCGATTTTTAATCAACTGTTACTCTGAAAAGTCAGATGTTCAATTTTTAAATACACGTGATTGATATTTTTGGAAAAAAATAAATTTATTTTTGGACAGCAAATCCTACGCGCCTCGGTTCAAATTATGAGAAAAGTTTAATTGATTAAATTAATCAAGATTATTATCGAGCACTGTTAAATTTACAGCGTCAAGTTATTCTCAAATTTAGTCATTTTTAACCATTCCTATAGATCGCCACTGCTCCTAACTCAATATGTCGTTAATTTAATTAAACCAATTAATTTAATTAAACCAATAATTAATTTAATTAAAGTTAATTACTAATAAAGTTAAAAAAATACCTAATATAAAATACTATTTTGTGTTAAAATACTGTAACATACTATAAAATACTATTAAATATTATTTTGTGTTAAAATAATAAATTTTGATACACATAATAATTAAAAATAACAAAATGTTATCTAACTCAAGGGTGTGCTGCAATTTAAATTTTATCCATTAATATTCAACAGTGAGATCGGAGTATCGTTGGGTCAACCTTTCAGCGCATCTTGGTACTCCTGCGTCTTGTTCTCAATGATCACCCGGTTGTCCTCGAAAATCTGGGGCATTCTGTGATACCATTGAAAGGCCACGCTGTTGTTACTTATCTCGCTCTCCGTTAGCAACCAGTAATCCGACAGGAACGCGATGTGCTCGATCACGTCCAGCAGTCTGAGCTCCAGGCTCTTTAGAGTGACGTCACTGGTAGTTCGGACGAACTTGATGAGTTCCATCAGAGCCGCGGTATTGGGAGGCGGGGTCAGGACTCGCTCGGATATAGCTTCATATTCCGCTATGATACTGGAATACAGATTTAGTTTGAGAGAATTGAACTCCATATAACGTTTCGGGATAGAGAGAATCGTCGATGAAACTGCGAAATTAACTTTGCACGGGATAACTCCAAAGTTACTCCGCAATTAAAGTTACTCCCGCGCGCTAAATACAAAAATTACATCCTGTGCACGTTTCATTGTAATAAATATTGCGTATAAATAGATAATAGAAAATAAAATAATTTATATACAAAATTCAAATTTTGCGCAATTATTACAATGACCTATATACTCTGCAAGAAATATAAAAATAATGATTAATCAATCTGTAAATAATTTTGTACGTATATATAATATATTTATTATTAATATTGTAAGGGGGGAGCCTGAATTAGAATGCTAAAAAAAAGCATAATTTTTACAATTTTTTTCTCGGTTCCAATAAAACGAATCTTTTCGAAACTTTTGGGGTGTTTTATCACACATTTTGACATTAACAAAAAAAAATTTTTATACAAAAATATTGATTTTTAGTATTAAATGTTCAGCAATATCTGCAACCACGTTTTTTGAATTCTCGTACAAGATAGAGAAAAATCTATTTGACTAATTGATTTGATCCAAGATTTTTTAGTTACATAATTGCATTAATTCTCTTCTATATATGTGAATCTAAGAGATTTATTAAAAAATTAAATTTAACAACTTTTTTTTAAAACAATTAAGTTAAATATTTTTGGCGAAAATCGTAACTTTTTCTTTAAAGTCTCACAATTAGTTTAATTTTCGATATTAAAAAATTTTTTTAGGTTCACATAAAAGAGAATGCAATTATGTAACTAAAAAATCTTGGACCAAGTCGATTAGTCAAATAGATTTTTCTCTATCTTGTACGAAAATTCGAAAAACGTGGTTGTAGATATTGTTGAACAAGTTTCGAAAAGATTCGTTTTATTGGAGCCAAGAAAAAAATTGCAAAATTTATGCTTTTTTAAAGCGCTTTTTGTTGATTCTTATCTTTAATTTTACGCAATTCATTATTTTTATTAGTTTCTAACTAATTAATATTAACTATAACATTCACTTCTTCGTCGTATTCTGATATCGGTCGACAAGGCAATGAACTAGAAGCCCTTCGAAACGTTCGACATTCTCCACCACGGCCCTAACGAAGGGCGCGTGGGAAACTTCGAAGAATCCCGCAAAGACGGTCCTCTCGATCTCGATTGGTATTCTTCCGGCGAGATCGTGATAGAGTTTAATTTTCTTTTCGTACTCCCCCAGCTTCATCTTCTCGTTCAGCAAGAAAGCCTCCGTCCGGTCGAGCTCCTCGTCGTTGTAGAGGTGCTCGTATCTGTAAGGAAAAAAACGGAGAAATTACGTTATCATACAGTTTATCACAGCCGCCTACTACAATAGGATCGATAAGCACTTTCTCAATTCTGCCATCTTCCGCTCCGGGATTATTCTTTCGCGATCGATCAGCTGATTTATCTGTCCCTTGAGCTTCTCCACGATGGGCTGCGATATCTGCGGCTGCGAAACGCACAGACAACTGTATGTAATAATACTTTAAAAGATGAGTATTTTATAATTTACGAATTATTATGTAAAAAATATAATTATACGTGTATGTATATATAATTTCTTTGTTACATCATAAATCATAAATTATAAAATTGTGGTTTTTTAAATAATTATTAGGTGTATACATAATAATTATAACAATTATTACAATATTTAAATTAAAATTATTAATAATAGTTTTATTATATATCTATGTATAAACAATGAATTAAATTGTTATTAGTATATTCTAAATAGTAACGTAATAATGACTTAAAAGATAAAGAAAAATAGTTTTATTTTGCAATTCTTATTTTACGATCAAAAGTTTCAAAATAGGAAATCAGTTCTCCACATTTTGTGATGCGAAACCTTGAGAAATTCTTGAGGCCCCGCCCAATCGAGATAGAGCTGCGTCTCCAATCTTTCAAAATTCCTCACGGCGTCGCATATCGCCTCGAGAATGTCGCAAAGTGATTTCTTGAATTTGTCGAAGGATGGCTGAAAAGCGAGCTCCTTGGAGACCACGGCGATGCTCACCTTAAAGCGACAGGCTACAGGCTGTAGAGGAACACATAAAGGAAATAATGCGCTCTGCCGAACATACGTTCTGTCGAAGACTTTTCATGAGAATCAAAATAAAGGCAAAAATAAAAATCCTAAAAAAAGATATTATACATTAAAAATTATAATACTTGTTTATCTGCAAAAATCAGATAAAGTCGAAATCGAAGGTGTAAAATCTATATAAAGGTGCGTTCCACTTATCGCTCGCAACGCTCGTGGAATCATTTCATCCTTGTTGTTTGTTAAATGTTAAACAAGGACGAAATGATTGATGCTCACGAGTGTTGTGAGCGATAAGTGGAACGCACCCTAAGAAAGCTAAAGAAAATTATTATTGTTAAACAACTCCTTTACTTCGACCGAACTGGCAGTATTTATTAATTTAACAAGCACAAACGTGCTTGTTAAATTAAAAGAGTTGTTTAATTGTATTACTCACTGGCGAAGAAAAAGTACCTTATTTGTTAAAATTATTATTCTCCTGAATAGTATTCGCTCATAAAATCTGCAGGAAATGCAAGATAAACATTAATCGAAGACTTTACATAAGAAGAGATATTAATTGCAAAAATGAAAATGCTAGGAAAAATTAATTATCACAATAATATCTATTTATCTGCAAAGAATAAAATAAAAGCCAAGCTGAAGGCTCAAAACCTAAGAGCTAAATAAAACTTTCTTTTCCTGACTACTTGTTCATAATATGTCATCTATTGTTTATTTTTAAACCTTTAATTGATTGTCGTAACATCTGGGTTACGCGCGCGCAAGATGGGGGCCTAAGGTAAAATGAGCAAGTGAGCCTTGAAAAGCCATGATAAGCAGAAATTGATGGAAATTGTGTCTCGGAGCGTTTCAATAACGCGCGTGCGACAGTATAAGCGGATAAGCGGAGGAAGGAAACGCCGAACGCGTGCGTGTTTCCCCGTCTGATGGAAATGATTTCACGTCGATCGATTGCGGAAGGCAGATACGTATATATTTCACCTTGCCGTCCGCGACGTAATTAACGAAATCCCGCAGAGAGCGCTTGCAGGCCCTTAAAAGCTGCGACTCCATCAGCTTGCCGGCGCAATCGAAGAATCGTTTGAACTGCTTGCGTCGCAACGGGCTCGGCACCATCTTCTTTCTATTATTCTGCAAAGGAACGGGATAATGGAATCGATGGAAACGAAGAATGCTTCTCGCTCGTAAACAAATTTTTTATATACGGATAATGAGCGAATTCAACAGACAAATAAACAAGAAAAATGAGAAGTTAAACTTGATAAGAATTAACTGTTAATTAATTTTAATTTTAATTCAGAAATTATATAAATAAATACTTAGATAAATAAGAAAACTAAATAGAAAGTCCATAAAAGCTCCAATTAACAGAGAAAAAAATCAGAAATAAGAACCGAGCAAAATAAATTGTTACTTCGTTTGATTTTACTTTTTAACGGAATGCCTTTTTTATCGACATCATTAATATTATTCTTTTCTGATGCTTTACCACGAGAAATATCTCTTGAATCCCGTTATACCAGTCTTTTTTCAGAATCCGCCGATTGGCAACGATCTGACGAGTGATTAAGGTATGAAAATTCGGCAGGTCCCAGCTTTCCTCGTGCGCGGCAACGTGCTCCAGATTAATCAGCCGAAATTGACTGAAAAGAATCATAAAATCCGTTTCTCGCTAAAACAGCAACAGCGCGAATCGAAGTGTATTCATATAAATAATCGGATTGATACCTGTAATCGCGGACCCACTGTTCCAGCGTCATCCGCATACATGGATTTATTAAATACAGATCGGTGAACAAAATTTCGCGACAGTGTTCTATGTGTTTCCACGAGTCCGGCTGGATACATCGCTCATCCTTCTGAACCGCATCAAGCTGCAACGCGATCGGCAAGAATTAAATCGCTGATGACAAAAGCTCCGATCTCTAATACTCTATTTTGGAGCTTACGAAACAAGTATTATTATGCTAAAGAAGGAAAATAAAAATTATTTAACAGCAAGTGTAAAGTAAAAAAAATTATTTGTTGCTACAATAATTATCTATATTGTATGTTGAGACGAAAAATCTCTCTACTAATAAATTATTTAGAATAGTTTCCATTTAGAATAGTTTCCATCTCGCTTTAAATTTATATATCTTTAAAAGATTTAAACCTTGCATTTTTTATATATTGAAATAACACTCAATATATTTCTTATACTCTATCAAAATCTTGTGAATATAAAAATATTAAGTTTATCTTTAGTTGTCTCCGACCTGATTTGATTCTGAAATTGATATAAAAGTTCTAATTTATAATGCAATTCCTTTTTGGCGATGGCCAACCTCTGAAGGATGTTCCTCAGGAACACCTAATCTAACCTCGGAAGGATCCGTAAGCGCGAACTCGACGATGGCCTTCTTCATGTTCTTCGTGAAGTCTTCCTTGATCTCGAGGATCAGATCACTGGCAAATTCGGGAAATTTATCGCGCAGGCTGCCGGGAACCAGATCGAGTATCGCCTCGACGAAGACATCCTCGATGCTAACCGTGTGAATCGTATCGACTCCGTTGCAAACATAATAATAATATCTATTGATGTCCATGTCATCGCTCAGATCCACGTCTTTCTCTTTCTCCGATAGCTCTGGTTTCACTATCAAACCTACCATAAATCTATAATCGCAAGGAGATTCATTAAAGCTTCAAACTTCTTTCGAAAGAACTCAATAATTATTTATTATTATTATTATTATCGTAATTCACATTATTAATAACTAATTATTCCACTTTATATTAAGTTAGCTTAACATTTATCTCTTTTAATATGCTCATATATTAATAATCTTATAATTTAACGATTATTTTATTTTGTTAATTTTATAATCTTATTAAATTAAAGTAATTAAATAAATTTCTATTTGAATTATTTTTTGCCTAATATTTATCTCTTAATATATTAAATATATGCTCTGCATATATTTAAAATTTTATATATTTTTAATGATAAGTTTATTTTATTAATTTTAAAATCTTATATTAAATTGAAGTAATTAAATAAATTTATATTAATTGAATAATTTTATTTAATTAATATAAATTTAAGATGATTACGGCAAGTTCAGATCTGACGGTACTTGAGAATTTATAGTTTAATTACTGACTGTGATCGCTAAGTAAATTCGAAGTTACTCTTAGAAATATAAAGTTTCGGGGTCCCTTTTTGCTTTTTGTATTATACCTGCGAAACTTCTCCTCGCGTAGACGTTTCGCTGTGTGAGGTGCAGCGTCACGAAATTTTTGCATCTTTCCCGTCTTCTTGATTAGCGCCTCTCCTTTTCTCTTACATCTTTTAGGACTCATCAAGTCCAATGGCAAAGAAAATAGTGGTTCCACCATTGTGTCGAGGATCTTTGGTATTAGAATCGCATCCTTGATGGACTCGCACTTTCGTGCCTTCGTTTTTTCCAAGCGAGAACTTTCCATGTTTATCGCAATTACGGACTATTAATAATGTCACGAAGCGACATTTAACAGACTTTTAATGAATCTCTGAAAAATATACAATAGTATTTCACTGTGCGCGAAATTACAAGCTTACTCTCGACCTTTCTAGAATAATACATTTTAATTAGAGACATTAATTTTAAAACTTCGTCTAATATTAGAGTGAATAATAAGAATTAATAATTACTAACATTTGTATGAAGTAATTATCTAGTTGCATTTTATAAATATTCTATTTCAAACAGATACTTAAAATTTTATGTACAAGGTGTGGTGAAAAAAGGTGGTACTAAATTTTAGGAGTATGTAGTACTCGTGAAAATAAAAGTCTTAATAAACATTACTCCAAAAACTATTTATTTCCGAGTTATAAAGCATTCGATGTATTCTCTGTTCGTTTTACGAGTATGCATTGTATAACGTATAATATTTACACACAACCGCTCGTATACTCTTTCACGAGCTTCTAAGGTTGACGAATAATGAACATTGTTGAACTTGTGGAAAATATTCCTTTTCTACGTAGATAACAAATGTAGTTCATGCACGGTGGTGCCCCTGCGCATTTCCTCATGATTTTTATCATACAATTGTTGGTAATTATTTACGTTAAAAGACATTTTTTTTAATTTCAAATAATTATTATCATTTTTATTAAAATTTACATAATTAAAATTGAAAATACGACTTAATAAAACTCTAATAATTTTTATAAAAATAATATAATGTGATATAATATATGTAATAATATAGTAAAAAATAATAAAATATATAATGTAATGTAAATTTAAAATACATTATTTTTTAATACGTTATAATATAAATATCATAATTTTATAATAAAATATAAAATAATATAAATAAAATATATTACAATATATTTGTAATAATATATAATAAAATATACACAATAATAATACATACACAATAACAATTATTACGTCGCTATAATATATATTTATAAAATTATTCTACATACTTAATTAAATTCATGATTGCAATATTATAATATAATTCATAATTTTTCTGAAATATGTTATACTGCAGATATTTTAACAGAATTTGAGCAATATATCTGCGTTTATTAGATTGTGAGATGAAAGGGGGCCCGAAAACGCCCTCTTGACGGAAGAATGATTACGGACCTGTGTTGTACTCTAACCTTTAACCTTCAAACACGGTGAGCGTTTTGCGTCGTTAAATCGCCGCGATATAGCTCTAAATTCGCAAAACTAGCCCAATCTCTCACGAATGTTCACTCGCTAGCATCTCGCGTGATTAACGGCTAATTTGCGATCCGCGTTCGCGCGAGCCACACTTCGCGTCTTCGTGTCATTCTTATATGGAGATCCGCAAAGCAAACTGCACCCTCGGTCGCAGTCTCTAGGCAACGTGGTCGATCGATTCGGCAGAATTAACAAATCTTGCGAACCTTTCGGCGAAAAGACAATTCTCGCGTTCGCATATCTCGTTCCTTCACCCCTTCGGTGAGAAGCAGTCCCGGGTGTGCGATTTTCCCTTTTAGGTTATGTCCCAGGAACCACCTGCATGCCGATTGTGGCAGTAGCCCGAGACCGAAACTACGCGAAGTGTCACAATGTGACTTTGATTTCCATGAAGATTCACGACCTGATCTTGTCTACATGACATTTTCTTCCCTGTATTTTACATTCACATCAAACAGAGTTGGTAGCCCCAAGATGCAGCCGCTCAAATTAACGCATTTCCCTAAGTTGTTTGTTGTATCAGAAACTGGCACTAACATAAGGTATTCTTCAGATGATTCCGGCCCAGATATTCCGATTGATCCACACAAACGGCCTGCTCTGGCAGGCCACGAACAAATCCCTGCTGGCTAAGCTGCGAAAGAAGACTGGCTACACCTTTGCGAACTGCAAGAAGGCCCTGGAGCTGCACGAGAACGATGTGGATAAGGTAAGAGGCATTCCACGACCGCTTCAGCATGCACCCCTGCGACTCCAATTGATTTATGACGGAACCTCTTAGTTTTTCCTTGCTCCAGGCTGAAAAGTGGCTGAGAGAACAGGCGCAGCAGTACGGCTGGACTCAGGCGGCCAAGCTGAAGGGCCGCAACACCAGCCAAGGGCTGATCACGGTGACGGTGGACGGACATCACGCAGCGCTGGCCGAGATCAACTGCGAGACCGACTTCGTAGCGCGAAACAAGAAGTTTCATAATCTTGCAGAAGTGGTGGTCTCCACCGTACTGAGTCACGCGAAGTCCCAAGAGATTCAGAACGAAGTGCAGCGGACTATCTTTCACGCGGACAATCTCAAAAACCTCCCGGCCACGGATGGCAAGCCCCTGAGCGACCATTCCGCCCTGACGATCGGCAACGTGGGCGAAAACATCAGTCTGAGGCGCGCTCTCGCCATCAGCGTACGATCGCCGGACCTGACGCTGTTCGGCTGCACGCATCCGGCGCCGATGAATCCCATACCCGTGTCCTTCGGCAAGTACGGCGCCCTCGTGGCCATCAAGTGCGAGGAAAATGACAATATGCTGGGTACACAGCTCTGCCAACATATCATCGGTAGGTTTTGTTTGTGAAGACACTCGGATAGTTGGATCGAAAGGCGAAAAGAAGCGCAACGCATTCGCAACTGTTTTCTTCTTTGTAGGCATGGATCCGCAGAAGATTGGAAACCCGCGGGTAGACGAGCCGCACAACAACGCGGACGAGGAGCAGTGCATGATCTACCAGGAATTCCTGCTCGATCCTAGTCTCTCCGTGCAGCAATTGCTGGCGGAAACGCGTGCAGAGATCGTTGACTTCGCGCGTTTCGAGATCGGCGAGGAACTTGACGAGGAGCCAACGCTGAAGAGCGTTCTGACTTGCGGCTGATGTCGACTGCCGATTGTTATCTATCGTTAATATTATAAATTTCACGGTAATACACGATAGCTATTATTGGTATTATTTACATAAAAAAAGCGAAGAATTCATATGTGAAAATGGATTCTTGAGTTATTTATCTTTAAGAACGAACGTTTGAAAGGAA